AACAAAAACAAAAACAAAAACAAAAACAAACCAAATGGCAAAACCATGGGTTAAGGTTACAAGAATCAGTTGAATTACATTCATAATAACAGTAAAAGTACTTGGATATCGAGCATCTGTCTGCAGTAGACTTCTTTGTCAACTAAAGATCATTAGCTACGAAAAATATCATTTTGTTTATCATATTACGGATAATTCTTTTTATCTATAAATCTTATCGCTCCAATCTTAAATAGCAAAAGGACAAATGCTATTTTCTGAGCTAAAGACGATCTGTTTTGAGCATTCTTCCTTCTTGTTTCTGACTTAACTAAAAATAGTACTTGGCATTTATAAAGTTTTAGTACGCTGCTAGACTTAGAAGCATGTTTATAAGGGCCCTTATCAGGTAGGCAGTAGTCCCCTTTATTATTACCATACCTCATAAGGTCCCTGATTTAGCTAATAGTACAAGCAGACACATCCATGCCCTCTGCCAGGAGCCTGTTCACTATGGCCCTTGTCAGGTGGGTAGAAGTCCCCTTTATCATTACCATACCTCATAAGGTCCCTGATTTAGCTAATAGTACGAGCAGACACATCCATGCCCTAAACTAGGAGCCTGTTCACTATGGCCCTTGTTAGGTAGGTAGTAGTCCCCTTTATTATCATACCTCATAAGGTCCCTGATTTAGCTAATAGTACAAGCAGACACATCCATGCCCTCTGCCAGAAGCCTGTTCACTATGGCCCTTGTCAGGTAGGTAGTAGTCCCTCCTTTCCCGTCGGGTGGTGTATTGTAGAAATTTTCGATCTGTTAGAAAATGAAAAAAATACAAATAAAGGATGAACAAAGATAATAATATTAATATAATAAAATAATTGAAATATAGTTTGAATTTTGGTAGAGTACAAACACTAAAAGTGTGCAACACTTTGCACTATTTAGTAGTAAATAGTGCTAATTAAACAATAGAAAACAATAGGATTAGCATAATTTAGCAGTATTTAGTGGTATTTATGTTACACACTTATAGTGTTTTTACTCTACTCTAAGCTTAAAAAAGCTTTCAATTTTTTATCAATGCTTCCTGTTTTTTGATTGTTAGGATGAACAGAAGGGTGTGAAGTCTACATTTATTCACATATTAACCCAAGGTCTCACTATAGATCTTTAAGACCACGTGCCATTCTCTTGAGAATAAGATTCTTTGTGTAAATTGCATCCATATTCATGTATCTTTTTATGACCAACCATTAAAACATTACGCCCAAGGTAAAGATGTCTATAACGTCTAAAAACAAAATCATGTCTACGTACCAGACCACGTTTCCCAAGTTTCTCTTGGTCGATGGTGTAGAGTCTGATAGCATCATGTAATACCTGGTACAACAAGAAAACAGATGGTTCGTAGGTGGATGCATACGCAAAGAAGGAGAGGAAAGGGAGAGAAGAGGAAAGGGAGAGAAGAGGAAAGGGAGAGTAGAGGAGAGGAGACGAGAGGAGAGGAAAGGAGAGAGGAGAGGAGAGGAGAGG